CTTTGCTTGAGGTGATTTTCACCCTCCATCAAAGCAAAGGCCAAGAGGATGTTTATAGCCCCTGGAAAAACATTTTTGGTGGTGATAATAAACTCCCTCTATCTTCCTACGGGTATTGGAATGTCCTTCTTGCCAAGCTGCCTTCTCACCTGAGGGCACAGTGCTCCGGTCGCAGTGCCCATCCTTCAGGAGTCTGTCTCGGATCTCCCAACTAAACATCCCGGGATTTTCCCGTTTGTATTCCTCGATTTTCTTCTCCACGTCGGGAGTCGCGACCTGCTTTTGTGAGCAAGGGACACCGGTGTGTGGCAGCGTGTGCAGAGAGGGAAGGGGAGAGAAAAAGCACTTTTAATTGAAAAGTAAAGCTGAGCAGCTCAGTTCAAACCTCCTTGCCCTGGCTGATGGTTTGAGGGCTGAAAATAAGGATTTGAAAGGCACAAGTGAGGGGGGAAAAGCTGAGGAAAGACTGTGGTGTCCCATATATTGACTACCCTAAAGTAAAGTCTTTGGGGGTGCAGGACCTCAGCGGGAATGGGTTTATTCCGAGTCCCAGGGGGGAAGGAGGCAGGGAGAGGGCACAGGGGATGCTTTTGGAGGGGTTTGTGTACACTCAGTCATTTATTATCCCCCAAAACACCCCAACTCGCCTCCTCCCCACACACCGGGGCCGAAGCAAATGCTTGAACGCACACCACTTGTTGCACATGGGAGAAAAAAAAAAATCACTTTAATTTATTCATAGCCTTCAACTCGGCCCCAATTTCTCCCCAGCCGAGGCTGAAAATTGCAGCTTTATTATAGCTTTTTCCCTTCCTCTCCCTTTCCTTAAAATAACCACCTGAAAATCTTGTAGCCCAGCAAAGAAATGTGCATTTTTGGAAGCTAAGGAGGAGGTTTAACTCGGTGCCCACATTGCACTCACCCTGGGCTTGCTGCCTCCGATGGCTCCGGGCCGGATGGAGCCTGTCTCCTGGTACCTACAGAGGATTTTGGAGACACAACCGTGGGAGACCCTCAGCTGTCGGGAGATCACGCAGGGTCGGATCCCGTGGTGAGCCATCTCCACGATTTTATGCCGAATATGGTTGGGCAGTGGGCGCCCGTTGATGAAAACCCCTCCGAGCTGGTTCACCCTTCCCTGGCCCAGCGGGGTGGAAACTGCAGAGGAAGGAGGAAAAAAACTCAACCCAATAAAGAGGAGGAAAAGTTAAAAGAGGGGAAAATGCTGCAAAACGGGATATATCCCTCCCTGCACCTTCAACCTCTCTCCCGGGCTTCGGAGCTTTAAAAGAAGAGAGAAAACTCATGCCCTGGCCTCGGTGTCTGTCCCTGGCCTCGGTGTTTATCCCGGCATCACGTTGGAGACTTTTCCCGTGGATATCGGGAAAATAAAACTAACTCGCTCAGCTCCCGATATATATATATATTTCCCTATATACATATATTTAGGATTTCACACCTACTTTTAATTAATATCCAACGTTTTCAAGAAGAAAAGCTTTAAACCCGCACAACACCCCCCCAAAACTTCCCATTCTTCCCTCTCACCCCCAAACTTCCCAATTCCACCCCCCCCAAAGCTCACTCCGCTTCTTGCTTCAATTTACGGCACTCTCTGCTTTCAAACAAACTTTTGGAAATAATCTCCTAAACACCCTCGAGGGCTTTATATATTTTTTTTGGTTTTTCTTTTGTGGTTTTGGTGGGGTTTAGCCCGCGGTTTGGGGAGGTGAGGAGGAAATGCGAATCCCCCCGCGGCTTCCCGACACCTCTCCCGGAGCATCCCCACCCGGAGCGGGAGGACCAGAGGCTCTTTAATCCCCCTCCCCAATTTCTTTAATATCTCGCAATGTAGATCTTGTAGATTAATACGATTTCACAGGCTGGAAATGAAAAAAAAAAAAAAAAAAGAAGAAGAAGGAGGGAGGGAGAGAAGGGAAAGGGGGGGAAAGAACTCAGCTGGGTAATTTGCACAAGGCTGGAGGGGGCGAGGGACAGGCAAGGCGAGGGGGTGATTTTTCTCTTTATACAAAGAAAAGTCGATTCCAGAAATTGCCTCGCGATTTAACAAGAATCATGCACCACTAATTCCAAGTCACTTGGCCAGCACTCCCTGGATATATCATTATCGACAGATAACACTCGAGTGGCCAATTTTACATTCAAGAGGTACTAAAACCGCCGGCCGCTCTCTCTTTTCATTATTCCCAGTCATGTTGTGCAAATATTGTTGTAATCCTTTGATCCTTTCCCTTGCCGTCTGTTTTACTTCATTTGCTACAGAAAAGCACTTCAACAAATCCCCCCAGCTTGTATGTTTTGCAGCCTGCGTGGTTTGCCACAGGTTTGAGTTTCGCCACTTGATCACGGGCAGGATGAAATTTTCCTGTTTAATAAATGCGGGGAGAAGGGTCCCGCTCGAAATTTGCCTTTTCTTTGTTTTTTTGGGCAATGTGTGTGCCTAGAAATAATAATCCCTGTCTCACAAAGGAAAAGCAGATGATGGGGAAAGATGCGCTGCGAGGTGGGGATGACACTTAGCGAGGTGACAGCTACAAAGTCCCCCCCATTCCCCTCGCCAGCCCCGGCCAAGGACATCTCAGCTTCCCGCTGCTCCAGGATCCCCTCGACTCCAGGTTTTTATTCTTATTTTCCCCGAGAAAAGTTGGGAGATATCAATTTGGTTATATTTGCCGACCTTTACGTGGAGATGAAATTGTCGGGCTATTTGCGGGTTAAAAAAACCCAACCCCCCTCCCTAAGAAAACCCCAAAGCATGAGAAAGAAGCTGCCCTAAAAATCCCGCGGGATGCTTGGAAATACTTTAAATATGGCAAAATAAAGAAGCGAAGACAAATTATTCGCGGGGATGGAACAGCTGCACGGGGAGAAGGAGAGAGAGGAATATCGGAGAGAAGTTGGATGCTCAAGTCGGGTCTCTCCGGGTGTGAAGTTCAGCTGCATCCCCCACCCCAGAGCATCCCGGTCAGGCTCCCCCCACGTTATCCCAGGGTGTCAAGGGATGGAAAAAGGTTTTTCCAAACCTACCTTCCAAAGGGAAGCCGGTGCGAGGGTAGTTTTGCCCCGGAGCTGGGCGCATCATTCGAGGCACCGTCCCGGGCAGAGCTGCCATGGTAGGGGGGTCGGGGCGGCCGAGAGGGTCCGCGGAAAACAGGGGTGGGGGGCACCCCTTGGCCCCGGGAGAACCGAGAGAGCCTGGGGAGGCTGCGGGACTGCGTTTCCTCGGAGCACAAGCGCTTCAATCTTCCAGCCCGTGGCTGCAAAAACAAGGGAGAGATCTTTGCTCCAAGGACCAAAAAAGAAAAAAAAAAATGAAGAAAAATCAGAATAAGCAAAAATGATAAG